ATGGCAGACTTGAACCACCAGCACCTAGCTTCTTGCAAGGATTCCTTTTTTTTAAATTTTTGGTTGGTTGTGGGGCTTGAACTCAGGCCCTGGGCACTGTCTCTGAGTTCTTTGGCTCAAGGAGAGCGCTCTATCATTTGAGCCACAGTGCCACTTTCTGATGGTTCATTGGAGATAAGTCTCAAAGACTTTGCTGTCTGGGCTGGCTTTGAATCCCAATCCTCAGATTCCAGCCTCCTGAGTAGCTAGGATGACAGGTGTGAGCCACTGGTACCAGGCTGGCCGGGGGTCTTAAGAGCTATGCAGAAAGCATGGTAGAGGCATTGATGGCTTAGTATGTGTCGAGAATGTCAGCAGTCTGGTTTTACCGTCCTGCAATTCATGGCTTATGGAATCATTTATGCTTTCCAGTCTTCCAGGGTTTCCAACCAGCACCCTAAGGTTAACAAGTCCAGATCTGAGAGTTCTCACCAAGGAAGCTCCGGTGTCCTGAAGCCTCAGTTTCCCCCAGTTGAAAAAAAAATGCATCCAGGCCCCTATCAAAGTAGACTGTTCAAAGACATGAGTGAAATCATACTCATCTGCCCTTTAGAAGCTGGGAAGGACTTCACAAAGGGCTGGTGTTTTTTGCTTTTTTTACATTCTGCTTTATCCCTTAGAAAAAGAAAACATCTGTGGGTGCTGGGCAGAGGGGCATTGTGGGCTTCTGGAAGCTTGGGGGGCGGTGCTGGGGGGGGTTAGTGGGTGACATCTCTTCTTTTTCCCCCCCTGCCTGGGTTCTGTCTGGTCACCCCCTCCCTCAGCCCAGAGATCCGTTTCTAGGCAACGGGATGGATGCAGAGATGGTTCGGAGGGGAGAGAGAGCTATAAATAGGGAAGGGAAGAAAACAAAAATAAAGTTCCAGAGAAAGCCTAGAAGCAGCATTACTTGGCGGTGGGGGGAAGGGGGGACCCAGAAAAACGATGAAAGGGCAGTTTTCAGGTTAGTCGCTGAGCAGGAGTGAGGAAGACTCAGAGGCTGGCGGAGAGCTGCCCAAGGGGAAGGAATACAGACAGAGGCAGAGAAAGCCTGGACCAGGGAGAGGGGCTGGAGGCTGAGATCTGGAGCAGTCTGATGGGACTCTGTCTCTGTGCACACAACATCCTGTCTGTGCACACGCACACACACACACACACACACACACACACACACACCCTACCTGCCACCTTCATTCAATCATTCACGTTTCCTCTTCGCCTTTTCAGACACCTGAGCTACCACCTTACATTCATGACTCCAGTCACTTTCTTTGACTATCGCATTTTGCTGTGGATGTGTGTGTGTGTGTGCACACGTGCACACGTGCACACGCATGGGCATGCCAGAACTGAGGCTTAAACTCAGGGCCTCATGCTCTTGCTTGGCTGTTTTGCTCAAGGTTGGTGCTCTACTACTTGAGCCATGGGCTCTATTTCCAGCTTTTTGCTGGTTAGTTGGAGAAAAGAGTCTCTCTTAGATCTATCTGCCTGGGACGGGCTTGAACGGGGATCCTCAGATCTCAGCCTCCTGGCCAGCAAGGATTATAGGCATGAGCCGCCAGTCCTAGGACCCTCTTATTTATTTTTTGGGGATGAGATCTTGGGATTTAGCACAGACTGAGCTAGAACTTGAGAACCTTCTGCCTTAGGTCTCTCAGCCTCTCTACTCTTAGAACTACTGGCTATGAGCCTCCATAGTGGTCTTTGTTGGTCATTAGTAATGGCTAGATGTGAGCTATCAGGACAAAAATACAGGGCTCTTTCCTGATACTCCTTGGGTTGTTCTTATTGTTTTGTTTTTTGTTATTCCAGTACTGGGGCTTGAACTCATGGCCTCACACTCATGCTTGGCTTTCTCCATTCAAGGCTGGAGCTCTATCACTTGAGCTACAACATCTCTTTCAGACTTTTGGTGGTTGAATGGAGATAAGCATCTCTAGGATTTGTCTGCCTGGGCTGGCTTTGAACTACAAGCTTCAGATCTCAGCCTCCTGAGTAACGCGGATGACAGGTGTGAGCCACCCTGTCTAACTTGCAAGCATATGGTATACATTGCTAGATGACTGAATGAACATCCACACACAGAGAACATATTCCTGTTCACATATTAACATAGATACAATACAGCACACACACACACACACATACACACACATACATACACACACACACATACTTGTGTCTGGCACTACACAAGACCAATCAAGACATTTCTGCCTCCCCACATTTGTCTGATGTATTTTTCATTTGTTTCTCTCTTCTGAGCCAAAGAAAACCAGTTTAAGAAATTCCAAGGTCAGCAGGCATTGGTAGCACACTCCTATAATCCCAGCTACTCAGAAGGCTGAGATCTGAAGATCCCAATTTGAAGCCAGCCTGGGCAGAAAAATCCACCAGACCCTTCTCTCCAATTAACCAACTAAAAGCCGAAAGCGGAGCTGTGGTTCAAATGGTCGCGTGCCAGCACTGAATGCAAAAAATAATGAAGCAAGGGCTGGGAAGGTGGCTCAATGGTAGAGCGCTTGCCTTGAGCTGAGGGGCTGCACCCAGGCCCTGAGTTCAGGCCCCAAGACTGACCAAAAAAAAAAAGCGAGAGCACAAGGTTCGGAGTTCAAGCCCCAGTATGGGTACATGAGCGCATGCGTGCACACATATTCCTAAGGAATTCTGCTTTGGAATCAGGCTTGATACAATGTGGCTTTTGCCAAATCCCAGCAAACCTGGCTAGAACAGGTAGCTTGGCCTCTGTCCCTCCCTTCCCTCCTCTGAAAACTGGGGCTACAAGAAGGCATCCTGGAGAATGGTTTCAAGGGGGAGGGCGGTGTCTTTGAGCACTTGGACAATGGCTGTTAGCTTGTGGCATGGGAGGAGCTGTATGCATCTCAAGTGACCCCCTTCCCCTTGCAGATGAGAACACTGCCCTCTCCCAGTGGGGCCAGGTGGAGGGCTCCATGCCTGGGAAGGAGGAAGAGATCTCCCTCCAGGTCAGATGGTGAACCTGGTTTGAGCATCTAAAAATGAGAATCAGGTGCTGGATCACAGGTCGGTTCATGAACACGGGCAGGGGAGGGAAGGGAGAAAATGGTGGCATTGATCAGAAAAGGTGCAGGCCAAAGGCACTTGCATTTAAACAATTTAAAGTCATGCTGGGTGCCGGTGGCTCAGCTCTGTCGTCCTAACTGCCCAGGAGGCTACGATCTGAGGCTAGCATTTTGAACTCAGCCTGGAGAGGAGAGCCCGAGAGAGACTCTTATCTCTAATTAACGACCAAAAAAAGCTGTAAGTAGGGCTGTGGCTCCAGTGAAAAGAGCGCCAGCCTTGAGTGGAAAAAAGCTAAAGGACAGTGGGAGGAGGTCCTTGAGTTCAAACCCCAGTACCGGTGTACACACTCACACACACACACTCACACATACACACTTAAAGCCTGTGCTGGCAGATTAAATCGATTCAAACTCAGCCCAAGGGCTATGAGTGTAACAATCCTGAGGATTGAGGTTACACTTACACACACACACACACCATACACTTCAGCCCAAGGTGACCCGGGGCACACCGGTCTCCTGCTGCCTTCAAAGCCTTCCTTCCCAGGCTTGGCATTCACTCCTCCGACGTTTCCACCAAGGGCATAGGAGAAAGAAGAGCCAGATTCTTCCAGCTCGGCTCCTGGAGATGGAACCCCGGGTTTCCGCTTGGATCTGAGGTCGGATCGGGGTAGGAAGTGGGCTGGGGGTGTGGGGAGGGGGGTGTGTGGAGGGGCTCTGCGGCAAAGTGAAGCCCGGATCCCGCAGGAGTGGGGCAGGCGGTGTGTGTGGGGGGAGCGCTGCAGCAAAAGGAGGGGCGCTGCACCCAAAGGGCGGATGGAGGAGATGGGGGCGGAGTCCGGAGCTCCGGAGCCAATGAAAGCAGGGATCTCCGCCCCTGGCAGGTGCAGCCCCGCCCCGGCGCCAATGAAAGCAGGGATCTCCGCCCCTGGCAGGTGAAGCCCCGCCCCCTCTGCTAGCCCCGCCCCGGCGCCAATGAAAGCAGGGATCTCCGCCCCTGGCAGGTGAAGCCCCGCCCCCTCCTCAAGCCCCGCCCCCAATGAAAGCAGGGATCTCCACCCCTGGCAGGTGCAGCCCCGCCCCCTCCGCTAGCCCCGCCCCTCCGGGTTCCCCGCAGAGCCCCTCAGGGTCGCGGCCCCGGCTCTTCCCCACGCCAGGCGATGTCGGGGAGGAGAGGGGATCGGGTGCCCTCTAGCGCCGAGCTGGAGCCCGCGACGCCGCATCCCCGTGGCTGCCCGGTGAAGCTCCCCCCTTTCCTCCGCTCCCCCCCTCCGCGCATGTGCAGTGGCCGCGGGGGCGCACCGCGCGCGCCTCGGCGGTGGTAGTGATGAGGAAGACGATGATGATGGTGGTGGTGGTGGTGGGGAAACACCAGCTCACCTGCACGCCGGGCCGCGCGCACCCCCAGAATCTCCACACACCCCAGCAGGTGGCGCCCGAGACCGCGCTCCCCTCCCCCCCTCCCCCCCTCCCCCTCCCCCCCAGTCACCCGCGCGCCCCGCACCTCCGAGCACGCGTGGCGCCCCCCCAGGGCCACAGCGAGCGGGGAAACCCCCGATCCCAGGGGTAACGATCCCGGGGGGGGGGGCGATCCGTGGCACCCCGCGCCCCTCCCCCTCCCGCCCCCCCCAAAGTCCATCTGCGGTGGCGCCCGGCCCGGCCCTGCCCAGGCGGCGCAGGCTACAGACAGATTGGCTTTATTCTTGGACACGCGGGGTGGGGGGGGGTGGAGGGGGCGTCCGGGCCCGCCCCACCCGGGACACGCTCACACGAGGGGGTGGGGGCTCTCCATGCGACAATCACGACAGGCCCGCGGCTGGCTGGGGGGGGGGAGGAGGAGGGAGGGGAGGGGGGGAGAATGGCACACAATTTGGCTCCAGGTTTGGGTGTTTAAAAAAAAGTCCTCGGGGGCGCTGGGGGGGGGGGGGACGTGGTGTCGATGGATGTGAGGGCGGAGCTGCCCGGGAGGTGGAGGCACCCCTTGAAGAGCTGTGTGTTTTGGGGTGCGGGTGGGGAGTGGGGAGGGAGCCATCATTTCTGGTCTTCGATGAAAAATACATAGAACATGCTAGACGTCAGACGCGATGGGGGGATTGGGGGGGCGCTGGAGGGAGGGGGGTGGCGACCGTCGTGGGGTCAGGGGCTCCCAGGGAATAGTCTCGGACCCCCCCACAATCCAGTCCACGGCCCCCCCCCCCTCCCAAGGGTAGGACGCCCGGGGCGGAGGAGGACAGACAGATGGACAGATAACGAACACAGGCTCCGAGGAAAGGAAGTGGGGTCGGGGGTTGCCTCGGAGCAGAAGGAAGATCTCGTGTTTGGGGGCTCAGGAGAGGCGGGGGAGGGGGAGGTAAATTAGGACAGCCCTGGTTCTGGGTGGGGGGGGGCCAGGATGGGGCCGATCTGGGGGACAGGAAAGAAATTGTGCTGCTGGTGAGGACCGACCCTGGTCCTTAGGCCTCTGGCTCATATTCCTGATATTCTTCCTGCAGCAGGGGGAGGGGGAACAGAGCAAAGAAGAGGAAAAGGGAGGTGGAGGGGGGGAGGTGATGTTGGACACCCCCCCCAAGGCCAAGCCCCACCCCCCCTCTCCAGGAGGAACAATGCATGCTGCACCCCGTGTGTGTGTGTGTGTGTGTGTGTGTGTGTGTGTGTGTGTGTGTAAACCTGCAGTCTATGACAGCACAGAGATATTCCTTAGGTCCCATGGTCCTCCCCTCCCTTGCTCCCGCCTCTTGGAGGCCGGGCTTCTTGAAGAGGCAGGTCCAGAAGCCCCCTAAGCCCAGCCTTGTGTGCGTGCAGGGATCACCCACCCCAGCCGTTTCCCGGGCTGCCCAGGGCCTCACCTGCGGGGATTCCTCATAGCTCTCCCCTTCGGGTTCCATCAGGGGTTCAATCAAAGGCTCCTCAGCAGCTTCCTGGCCCACTTCCTCTGGCTGTGGGGAGTGGGCAGAGAAAGGCAGGGCCTGTTCAAGGGTGGCTCAGAGACACCCCTAAAATCCCAGGCTGCCAACTTCGGGCTTCTTGGAAGGAGATCGGTTATAAATCGTTTCTTAGGAAGCGTCTTAGAAGTAAGGTGAAGGACTAAGTCCCTGGAAGCAGGGGAGTTGGAGCAGGTGCAGGGTGGATGGGTGGAGGAAGCAGAGCTCCCAACCACACATCTACCCCTCTCCTTCCTGCCAGGCTCGGCCATGGACTTTAGGACCCCCTGGGAAAACCTGGGCAGCTTCCTCCCTCCGGGGCTGGAGAGAGATGAAGGCTCAGCACAGGGCTGGACAGGGGCTCTGAGCCATTCTTTCCCCAGCCACCTTCCACCCATCCCTCCCCCAGGGCCCAGCCTGGCCTGCTTTCTTCCCCGTTGCTATTTTAAGATAAGCTGGAAGCAACAGCTCATGGTGTTGCTTGGATGTATGAGCTAAGACTCTCCCCTCCCCCATCCCTTGCATCTGCTGCCCAGATGGGCACCGAATGGCAGGCAGACATGGGGTGTATATGTGGGGGAGGGGGGGGTAATGGCTAGACACATGGCGGGCCATCTGTGGGCGAGAACATGTATGTGCACACGCAGTTTAACCTACAGTAACCTGGCCCATATGTAGGATGGCACAGGCCTGAGACCCTGGGGTGGGGGGGTAGCACTGAGGTTGGCATTCCTCTGGCTTCTTCTACCCATCTATAACTTCATCTGCTCACAGGATCCTGTTTAGCTGGCCCCTGTGTGCACAATGAGATCGACTTGGTTTATTCTCTACATTGGAGAGATGACCCAGGAAATGGGGGGAAAGTTTGTTGACCCCCCCCCCCAAATCACACAACCAGGAAGGAAACAGTTTTACAGATCCAAGCGTTGGAGACTCAGAGGTAGAGCCCCTGACTAGCATGCACTAGATACCCAGCAACCCTTTTACACACACACACACACACACACACACACACACACACACAAAAGTAAATAAATACATACAATAAAAAAGATTTCAGACGGAGTGAGCAGCACATTTGTTTGGAAAGAATGTATAAATGGCCGGGCACCCGTGGCTCACACCTGTCATCCTAGCTACACAGGAGGCTGAGATCTGAGGATGGCACTTTAAAGCCAGCTCAGGTAGGAAGGTCTATGAGACTCTTATCTCCAGGCTCACGGGGGTCTCCGCAGGCAGGTGGATAAACACCCAGAAGGCATGCTCATCCACTAGCTCACTGCATACATCTGAGCATGGACACAGTACCTACAGCAGGGATGTCCACATAAGAAACGTGCTTAGGGGAGCTGGGAAGGTGGCTCAGTGGTAGAGCGCTTGCCTCGCATGCCTGAGGCCCTGGGTTCGATTCCCCAGCACCACAGAAGCAGAAAAAGCCGGAAGTGGCGCTGTGGCTCAAGTGGTAGAGCGCTCGCCTCGACCAAAAAGAAAAAAAAAATGTGCTTAGGACCCCAGGACACTCTAACTGAGCACACCTGTGATCACGTGGTCCCCCAGGGACAGACACACTGCTCCCTAGATCCTGGACTCCACAACTCTCCTGGGAAATGGCTCATCCAAAACCCAGGCATATATATACGTATATATATGACATATATGACACACACATATCACTGGAACTGCAGCGCTAGCATCACCTAATTGTTATTCTTGGGGTTCACCTCAAACCTAGGCATACCAGAAATGTAAGTATTCACTTTTTGATGCCGGTCCAAGGACTTGAACTCAGGGCCCGGGTGCTGTTCTTGAGCTTTTGTGCTCAAAGCTAGTGAGCTCTCACTTAAGCCACAGCTCCACTTCCAGCTTTCTTGGGTAGTTAATGGAAGGTAAAGAGTCTCATGGGCTGGAAGCCTGGGCTGGCTTTGAACCATGATCCTCATGATCTCAGTCTCCCAAGTAGCTAGGATGATGGGTGTAACTCACCAACCCCAGGCTGAAATCTAGGTATTTTCACTTAGCCTCCTGGTGACTCTGGTTGATACTCATAGTTTTGTTTTGTTTCTGTTTTTTTTTTTTTTTTAAGACAAGGACTTGCTAAGCAGCTGAGGCTAGCCTTGAATCCAAATCCTCCTGTCTCTGCCTCCTGCGTGCGAGGATTACAGGCGGGCACTGTCATGCCCAGCACACACTGCAGTATGGAGAATGTCTGAGGTATGTTATCTCTATTCTGCCTAAGAGTCTCACCATGTTTATCTTTCATGTTATAGGTTGTCAGGTTCGGAAACATCACGGGACTCACCCATGGTGACACAGCTAAGAAATAGTGGAATTAGGATTTGAATCCAGTTCTGTGGTGCTCAGGAGCTCATAGCTCTTTCTCTACCAGTTTTGTTTTTTGTTGTTTAGGTCAGTCATGGGGCCTGAACTCTGGGCCTGGGTGCTGTCCCTCAGCTCTTCAGCTCGTGGCTAGCGCTCTACCACTTGAGCCACACACCGCTTCCCATTTTCTGGTGGTTCATTGGAGATAAGAGTCTCACAGACTTTCCTGCCCGGCTGGCTTTGAACCACGATCCTCAGATCTCTCCTGAGTAATGAGGATTATAGGCGTGAGCCACTGGCACCTGGCTTCTACCAGTTTTTTAAAGTGTGTGTGTGTGTGTGTGTGTGTGTGTGTCTGTCTGTCTGTTTGTCTGTCTGTCTGTCTGTTTGTGTATGCTAATACTGAGTCTTGAACTCCAATCCTGGGAGCTGTTGCTTAGTTTTTTTTCACTCAAGGCTAGTGTTCTACCACTTGAACCACAGCTCCACGTCCTACTGCTCTTTTACTTCCTGCTTTTTACTGGTTCATTGGAGAGAAGAATCTCATGGAGGGGCCGGGAAGGTGGCTCAGTGGTAGAGTGCTTGCCTAGCATGCATGAAGCCCTGGGTTCGATTCCTCAGTACCACATACACAGAAAAAGCCAGAAGTGGCGCTGAGGCTCAAGTGGTAGAGCGCTAGCCTTGAGCAAAAGAAGCTCAGGCACAGTGCCCAGGCCCTGAGTTCAAGCCCCAAGACTGGCAGTTAAAAAATAATAATAATCTAATGGATTTTCCTGCCTGGGCTGGCTTTGAACCTCTAACCTCCGATCTCAGCCTCCTAGGTAGCTCAGATGACAGGCATAAACTACCAGCTTAGTGGCTTGCTTTATTTTTTTTTCTTTACTATCTTTTTTGCACGGAAGGAAAACCAATCACAGCAGGACCTGCTGCAACAATTCCCCGTTCAATGAGATGATATGAACGCACCACCAGGGACACACACGGACGGACAGCCAGATAGCGTGTGTCTCTCACGGGAGCATCTGTGCACAGCAGCGTCTGAGCTCCAGGCTGGCTGGGGCTGGAGGGGATGGACAGGGCAGCTGTGGGCCTGGGAGAATGGCTCACCTTCAGGTCGGTGGGGAACTCCTCTTTCTTGACCAGCCCAGTGGCTGCAGCGATGTTGCCAGCCCCGGAGAACACAGCACCTCCTAGGTGCGTTGCTTGCTCCTTGGTTTTCTCAGCCACTGGAGCCATGAAGGATGTAAGGTAGAGATCAGGAAGGGGGGGGGGGGGGAGGGAGGATACAGATGCCCCCTATATAGCATCCCAGGGCCTACCCTCCCCAAGTGGACTTGGGACCTCTGGCTCCCAGTAAGTACAGGGTCAGGGCTGGGTACCTGAGGCCACACCTTGTACCACGCCCTCCCGTGTCTTGCTTCCTGTGGGAGGAGAGAGAATGCTTTGAAGGAAGTCTAAGCTGAGAAAACAGATCCAAGCAGCCCTCCTCCCTCCTTCCCCCCCCCCCCCCACCAGGCTACAGGAAGGGGCGGGGCTGAGGGACCCAGGTGGACTGCAGAGTTTCCTGTCTGCATTACTCTTTCTTTGGGCTGCCTCCCCCCCCAAACAACTCCAGCCCCATCCCAACCACCCTCAACCCCCCCATCCTTACTTTCTAGGCTTTCCAGATCTCCCCCTAACCTGACACCCCCCCCCCCCATACTGGATGTCCGTAGAACCCCAGATCTGTGGCAAAGCTCGAATTCTACGAGAAACAGAGCTCCACAGGCGCGCACCTGTCATCCTAGCTACTTAGGAGGCTGAGATCTGAGAGTCACAGTTCGAAGCCAGCCCCGAGAAGGAAAACCCAATGAGGCGCTTATCTCTAATTAACCTTCCCCCCCCCCAAAAAAAAGCTAGAAATTGAGTTGTGGTTCAAGTGGTAGAGTGCCAGGTTTGAGCAAAAATGCTAAGGGAGTGTCCAGGCCCTGAGTTCAAGTCTCAGTACCAACACACACACACACACACACACACACACACACACACACACACACACACACACCAAAGTCCATAGGAACCTCTCCTCCCCACAGAAACTCTGTAACAGTCAGCAGCCAGGAAGAGGCTGACTGCCATTCAAATCAGGCTTCTTCATTCAAACTTCCTGCCTCCAACCGCTTTATGAGCCTGTGGCTGCCCAGCCTGAGAGACAGGTGGGCCTATGGGTTTTGAAAGGTGCCCTCCTACAGCCTACAGCAGCAGCCTGTGCCCTGCTCAGTCCCGTGCCTTCTAGATTCTCTCTTCTTGACCGGGAGTCCTGCGTTTCCTCCCCAAAGTGGAGCATCTCAGATTGGATATGTGGAGTTTTAAGGCCAAGATGCTATTGAGGATACACATGGACCTGCCCTTACTGAAGTGGGAGATCACTGGGAAGGGCAAGATCTCGAAGTAAGGACAGGCAGTGGTGTTCATGCCTGAAATCCTAGCTACTCAGGAGGCTGAGATCTGAGGATCACGGTTCAAAGCCAGCCTGGGCAGGAAAGTCCATGAGACTCTTATCTCCAGTGAACCACCAGAAAGAATGGAAGTGGTGCTGTGCCTCAAAGTGGTAGAGCACTAGCTTTGAGCAAAAAAAGAGTTCAAGGACAGCGCTCAGGTCCCGAGTTCAAGCCCCACCACCACCACCACCAACAAAAGAATGAAGAGTGATTTGGGGTGAGGGTCCTCTAGGGTGTGGGGAAATCTCTCATGTGGAGGATTTAGTTTCCAGACAACCACTGATTCAGAAATAGGCCTCTGGGCAGGCAAAGGAGAGGCTAGAAAGGAGGTACGGTAAGAAGGCTGCGCATGTCCAGAGCTAAGCTAAGACCAGCCAGAAGGGGAGATGGGTTTGGGGTCCACCCATTCGTTCCTCCCATAACTGCTCATCTGTGTGTACTTTGGGCAAGGCCCTGGGCCAGTGGCTCGCTCTGAAGAGGTAGGAGAGAGGCAGGCTCAGTTCTGGACTTTGTGTAATAGAAGACATCTCCCCTCCAAGGCTGTGTGGGGTGGGGTGGGGGTTGGAGGTGGGGGACACTGCCTGGATCGTATGACTTGGGGAGCCGATGGATACTCTGAAGGAGGCTCAGGGACCCAGGTAGGAGAGAAAGAGAGAGAGAGAGAGAGAGACCCTAGCTGGACCATTAGGGTACAGATGCCAGGCTGCGGGGAGCTAAGGGCTTAGGGTACATTCTAGAAAAGAGCCATGGCTCCAGGGCAGGAAAGGAGCAAGAAGTGTTCATCTCAAGTAGAGGGTGGCGTGGCTGCGAGGAGGAGGATCTATTAGTGACAGTAGTGTGTGCAGGGTGAGGGATATGTGTGTATGTGTGGGTGTTCAATAGGAGGGAAAGGATTAGGGGAAGAGGCAGGAGGCATGGAGCTGGGCCAGGCAGGTAAGGCCAAACAGGTATGGTCTCCATCATACGGGTCTCCTGGGGTGCACTAACCCCCCAGAGGCCCCTTCCTGACGTGGTCATTACCATAGTGCCAGCCCCTGGCTTGTAAAGGTCTTGCCCACCAATCTGATCTCACCTCCCACAGTGCCTGCAGCTCTCCAGCCCTTTCCCACCCATCCAGGGCCTTTCTGCCAATCCCCCCCCCCCCCACTTCCCCATCCAGAACTACCTAGCTCAGCTCGGGCAGCCTTTTTCTTTATTTCCCCCCTTTATTTTTAAACCATAGGTGAAAACGGGACCCCCCCACCTCTGCTTCTGGGTCACATCTCAGCATGGAAACGCTCTGTGTCATGATCTGGGCAGCTTCATTCCCTGCCCAAGCTACACCCCCCCCCCCCCCCCCACCATGCATGCAGGGTGACCGACCAGCCTCCAGGGGGGTGGCCACCAAGTCGTTGGCACATTTCCTGTGACCTAAAACCCCCCCGCGCGGTGGTGACCTTGGGCAAATGATTCTTCCCTCCTATGACCTTATAGGAAATTCAGATCTGCTTCATACGGGTAAACCCTAGAATGGCCAGACAGCTCCAAGAAGCCTGAGTTTCCCTCCCATCATTGGCTTGCTCTTTATATAAATGATCCTTTCGTACTCAGGGGTGAGAGATTTTAACCACCTGGCTTGACGGACAGCAGTGGGCTCCTCCACAGGTACTGAGCGGTGAAGGAGCCCAGAAGTAGCAGGAGGGGCCACAAGGGAGTGGGAGGGCTGGGGAGTGCACAGAGCTGGGTTTAAACCCCAGCTTCTGGTAGTGGTGGTGGTGGTGGTGGTTTTCCCAAACCCCAGCTGTATGACCTTGGTGAAGGGGTTAACTCCCTCAGCCCCAGGCCTCAGCTTCCACCAGCCACAGGACAGGCTGGGAACATTGGAGGTGGCGTGGATGTCATGGTACTTGTCGGAGAGGGAGGGTTCACTATCACAGGATGTGTGTGTGTGTGTGTGTGCGCGTGTGCGCTGGGGTTGGAACTCTGGGCCTGGGCGCTGTCCCTTAGCTTTATTGTTCCACTACTTGAGTCACACTTATCCTTCCGGCTTTTTGGAGTTGATCACTGGAGCGCCCAGAGACTTTTCCTGCTGTAGCTGGCTTTGAACCTGGGCCCTCGCTCCGATCTGCGCCTCCTGAGTAGCTAGGATCCTGGGCCTAGCCTGGGATTTATTAATGACAAGACTAAGGACAACTTGGCTGGTCCCCCCCCCCCCATCAACAACACTGGGCCCCCCCAACTTCCAGCCGAACCCCCCACCCGGTCCCCCCCATGTCCCCCAGTGACCCCCCCTGCTGACCCTGCCCCATCTGCTGACTCATAGCCTCAGGCTCCCCCCTTTACTCCCTCTGGGGGGGGAACCCCACTCTCTCCCCCCCCCCAGCGCCGCCCACCGACGTAGAGGACGCCCTCCTTGGTCTTCTCGGCCGCCTCGGTGACCCCTTGCTTGGTTTTCTCGGCCGCAGCCACGACGCCCTCCTTGGCCATGGACAGGCCCTTCATGAACACGTCCATCCTGGCGGCCTGGAGTGGGGAGGGGGGGCGAACACACGCGCGGGTGCGCCGGCTCCGCACCCTCCCGCCCGCCCCTCCCGAGGGACCTGGGGATCCCCAGGCCTGGGGATCCAGACCCCCCCCTCCTCCTTCTCCCCCTCCTCCCGGCCACCTCCCCCCCCCTGCAGTGAGTCCCGGCGTCCTTGAAAGCCGGGGACGCAGAGGTGGAGGGGGGCCTTGGTTCTCTGCAACCCCGCAACCTCCAGACTCCCACCGCGCACGCACACACACCCCGGGGGCGGCTGGCACGCACGCACACGCATGCACACACGCACACACGCATGCACACGCGCGCGCCAGGGTCACACGGCCCCGCACGCCCGCACACCACGGGCACGCTCACGTGCACCCCGTGCCAAGCCCGTGCAGACGTCCGGACGCGCACGGACGCCGTGGGGACCCCCCGCACCCCGCGGGCGCGGACGCCCGACCCCCCCCCGCCCCGTCCCCCCCCCCGTGCCCTCCTGACCCCCCACCTCCTCCCGATCCCCGGCGCGCGGCCGCCTCACCTGGATGCGGGGACGAGCCGGGGATGGAGCGGTGGCTGCGGCGCGGACGCCGGCGGGGGCCGGGCAGGGGTGGGCCCGGGACGCGGGGACCGGGGGTGTCCGGGGCAGGCGATCGGCCCGCGCTCGGGAGCTCGCTCTGGGTCTCCCGGCCGGAGCAGGGCCGCGGCGATGCCCGGGCTCTTGGGGTGCGTGACCGGCGAGGATGCAGCTGGCGTCCGGCTCGCCTGCGCGCTCGCTCGGGCTCCGGGTCCCGCGCTGCGGCAGCTCTGAGCTCAGCGCCCCCCCTGGCGGCCGCGCCGCCCCCTCGGCCTTGACTGACAGGGGGCGGGAGGCGATCCGCAGAGCCGCCCTGAGCCCGCCCCTCGGCCTTGACTGACAGGGGGCGGGAGGCGATCCGCAGAGCCGCCCTGAGCCCGCCCCTCGGCCTTGACTGACAGGGGGCGGGAGGCGATCCGCAGAGCCGCCCTGAGCCCGCCCCTCGGCCTTGACTGACAGGGGGCGGGAGGCGATCCGCAGAGCCGCCCTGGGCCCGCCCCTCGGCCTTGACTGACAGGGGGCGGGAGGCGATCCGCAGAGCCGCCCTGGGCCCGCCCCTCGGCCTTGACTGACAGGGGGCGGGAGGCGATCCGCAGAGCCGCCCTGGGCCCGCCCCTCGGCCTTGACTGACAGGGGGCGGGAGGCGATCCGCAGAGCCGCCCTGAGCCCGCCCCTCGGCCTTGACTGACAGGGGGCGGGAGGCGATCCGCAGAGCCGCCCTGAGCCCGCCCCTCGGCCTTGACTGACAGGGGGCAGGAGGCGATCCGCAGAGCCGCCCTGAGCCCGCCCCTCGGCCTTGACTGACAGGGAGGGCAGTTCCTAGATCACCAGGATGGAGAGATTGAGGAAACAGATAGGATGACGGTTTTGTTTTGGGGGGAAACAGTGCTGGGGGTTGAACTCAGGGCCTCTGGATCTTGCTTGGCTTTTTCAGCTCGAGGCTGACCCCCTGGTACTTGAGCTGCACTTTTTGCTGGTTAACAAGTTAAGAGTCTCACAGATTTTTTAATGTTTTCATTTGTTGGGTCCAGGCTGGCTTTAAACCTCAATCGTTCGCTCTCAGCCTCTTGAGTAGCTAGGACTACAGGTATGAGCCTCTGTCCACATTAGAGGAAGGAAGGGACTTTCGGGCTGTAGGTACAGCTCGTGCAAAGGCACTGTGGCCAGGAACACTGGGTGTGTAAATGACAGGGGAGGGAGGCAGTAGCCAGCCTCTCCAAGTCTGGCACCCTGCAAGTTGGCACACATTTTCTTTTTGGAAGGCAATTTGGCAATGTTTACCCAACGCATAAATGCATGCTCCTTTTTTGAGCCAATAACCTGCCCTTCCAAGAATTCAATTTGTGGATCTCAGGTCACACACATACACACAGGCATTGGGGATGGGGAGGGTGGGGAGAAGGGCTCCTGAGAACATGGCATATTGTATCACCTGTAATCCTAGCTACTCAGGGGGCTCAGATCTGAGAATCTTCGTTCAGAGCCAACCTGGGTGCTGGTCACTGGTGGCTCACGCCTGTCATCCTAGCTACTCAGGAGGCTGAGATGTGAGGATCATGGTTCAAAGCCAGCCTGGGCAGGAAAGTCTATGAGACTCTGATCTCCAATGAACCACCAGAAAACCAGAAGTGGCGCTGTGGCTCAAGCCAGCCTTGAGTGGAAAAAGCTAAGGAACAGTGTTCAGGCTCTGAGTTCAAGTCTTCCAGTACTGGCACGCGCACACATGCACACACACACACACACACACACACACACACACCCTCTGTCAGTTCAAGCCCACAGAGCTGTCCCCCACAGACAGGTAAAGGTGAGCCTTGGATTTGAAGCTAGTAAGGCCAGATGTCATTTGAGGGTCTCAAGGCCAGACTCCAGGGGTTGCTAGGCAAATAGAGAATGGAAGGAAGGGGCGGGGGGGGGGTGGTGGAGTATGTGGTTGGAAACTCAGCATCAGGCCAGCATCAGGCAGGGATGCCCACCCTGGCCTTCCTCCCTTCCTGCACCATTTCTCCCCAAGCCTTCTTCCAGAACAAAAATCCTCATCCTGAACGCTTCTGACCTCCCCGTGGTGGAAGCCAGCCAGGTCCCTGGCCGTGGGTCTGTGCAGCTTCTCATTCCAGCCAAAGTCTCCAGCTGCGGGCCCAGCTACAGCCAGCATCCTCTGCCCTATGTGGGAGGGACAGTCAGATGCCCGCCCCCCCGTGAGCCTGGCTGGAAACCCGGATGGACCTCACCTGAGAGTTGCCCCTCCCAAAGGCAGATTCCTGCCCGTGGGTGTGGTGAGCATCACAGGGGCTGAGACTGAGGCCACCCTAGGGCCCTCTACCCCTTGGGCCATGGCTCCAGACCCTTTTGGCATTGGTTCTTTTTCCTGGCAGGGTGTTTTGCTTTATATCTAGGGCAGCCTGGGCCGTGATCCTCCTGTTTCTGTTTCTACATGTTACTGGGGATGACAGGAATGTACCACTGCACCCAGCCATTGATTGAGATGGAGTTTCTCAAACTTCTCCTTCTCCTCCTCCTTCTTCTTTAAATCAGTCATGGGGCTTGAACTCTGGGCCTGGGCGCTGTCCCTCAGCTCTTCAGCTCAAGGCGAGCGCTCTACCACTTGAGCCACAGCGCCACTTGCGGTTTTCTGAGTGGTTTATTGGAGATCAGAGTTTCACAGATGTTCCTGCTTGGGCTGGTTTGGAACCACGATCCTCCGATCTCAGCCTCCTGAGTAGCTAGGATGACAGGTGTGCTTTTACTGATTGTTTTTTTTTTTTTTTTCTGTTTGCTTGTTTTTCATTTCATTGTTTTCCAGTCAGAGCCCTTTATTTTTTGCCTGGCCATGTTTGATTGTAACCCTCCTGTCCCTGGGAACTCCTGAGTAACTGGGATTACAGGATGGTACCATCACACCTGACTAGAATTGGTATTTTTTTCTTTTCCAGGTGGAGCAAGGGATTGAACCCCATGCTTGCTAGGCAAGTACCCTGCCTGATCTATACCCCAGGTATTTTCTTTTTCAATATTGGGGTGTGTGTGTGTGTGTGTGTGTGTGTGTGTGTTGGACCTATACTGGGACTTGTACAACTACTTTAAAATAATAATTTGTTTTTTTAGAAAAGAAAAAAAATAACTAAAAAAAAAAAAAAGTAAATGCAAGGGTAGACCCTAAAATTTGACTGTTACCTTCTTTCCTTCCTCTTTTCTTCCTTCCTTCCTTCCTTTGTGTCAATACTAGGGCTTGAACTCAGAGCCTGGGCTTTTTGTCCCTTAGCTTTTTTTTCATCCAAGGCTGGCACTCCGTCTCCTGAGCCGCAGTCCCCTTCCGGCTTTTTCATGGTTACTTGGAGAGAAAAGAGTCTCACAAACCTCCCTGTCTGGGCTGGCTTCAGATCATGATCCTCAGAACTCAGCCTCCTGAGTGGCTGGGATTCCAGGCGTGAGCCACCGCAGCCCAGCTTTCCCTTTGTCAATTCCCACTGAGAGGCCAGCCTGCCTGGTCTCAGCTGGCTCCAGGGCCCTGGTCACTAACTCCTTATTGATAGGAGGATTCTGATTGCCAGGCCCTCTCCCTGCATGCATCAGGGATCAGGTGTCGCAGTGGCTGATGGGTTAAAAGCCAGCAGCTGCGGCCCCTTTAGCTGCTGTATTCTGGGAAACTGGGGCTTTGGGTATGGCTACCTCCAGCTCTGTAAGTCCATCTGCCTGTCCCCTTTCTAGAACAAGCCACCAAGCGGGGGAGGGGGGTGGTGACAAAAGGGGGTGTTGCGGGGACACTTAGGACCGTGGCTGACCCCCCCCACACCCGGATTCCTTTCGTGGGTTAGGCAGGTCTAGCTGAGGGTGGACCAGAAGAGTGGGAGAAGGAGCAGAAGAAAGAAGGGGAAGAAGAGAAAAAGGAGGAGAAAGAGAATCAGCGCCAGGAGGCTCAGAGCTGTCCCACGACGCTGAGGAGGAGGGCTCGGGGTGAGGGTCTGGCAGAGGTCAAGCTAGACTTGCACCCGCTGCAGAACAGGTACGGAGGGACTGCGCAACTGAGCACAGACCCCTGCTAGCGGGCCAACCTCCTCTCATTCCGCGACCCTTTTTTCTCTGGGAGCTTAACCCAGCTGGCCTTAACACTTCTTTCCACCTTGGTGGGGAGGAGGAGGGGGTAAAGAAGTGGGGGGAGGGTTATGTTCCAAATCTAACTTGCCCAGGAAGGGGGGGGATGCCTCCCTCTCAGCCCTCTGCTTCTCCCTGGCCAGGTGGGTTCTGTGGTTCTTCAAGAGCGACCGTGGCCGGGCCTGGCAGGACAGTTTGCACCAGGTCACCATAGTTGAGACTGTAGAGGATTTCTGGGGGTGAGTGTCTCCCTTCTTTATGGCAGGGGTGGTAAAACCTAGGCTCTGATTGTGTGTGTGTGTGTATAGGGGGGGTGTTTGCTCTCTACACAGCCAGGATGCTCTGCTAATGTTTGTTGAGGGCTGGCAGAGGGGGGAAATGGGCAGAGGCCAGGGGGCAAAGCCTCCCCCATTTTCAATGCTTCTGGTATTTGTATATGTGTGTGTGTGTGTGTGTGTGTGTGTGTGTGCCAGTCCTGGGGCTTGAACTCAGGGCCTGGGCACTGTCCCTTAGTTTTTCCCAGAGATAAGCCCAGGGCTGGATTTGAACTGTGATCCTCAGATCTCAGCCTCCTGAGTAGCTAGGATGACAGGCAGGAGCCACCACCACCACCACCACCACCACCACCACCACCCAGCCCTCGAAGGCTTCTTTGGGGGGTGGGGGTGTCGGGAGAGAATCTGGGGACTGGGCGTGGACCCTGGCTGCTATTTTCTGAGTCTAGGAAAGCTCCCTTTCCCAGGTCTGAATTTTGGCTCAGCTGAAAGGTGAAGGTTAGGCCACCTGTGATGTCTGCAGGTGATGCGATCTGCGGGTTGCTTGCGGTTTGAGCCTGGGGGACCTTCGGAGCCCTCAGGGTGCAGCTTTGTTGGGCTTGGGGGGGTTGGGGAAGGGTATGGAGGAAGATAGGTTTGGGTAGGGCAGTAAGATGGGCCAGAATTCCAGGTAGCCAGGTTAGGAGATGTGAAAGGGGGGAGTGGCCAGAACTGGTGGGCGTGGCCTACAAAGCAGGCCGGACTGGGGCCTACAAAGCCATGGCTCTCCAGATGGGTGGGGTGGGGATGGGATCTCTCAATCTCTCTCTCCAGGATGTACAGTCACATCCAGCTGGCCAGTAAACTCTCTCCTGGCTGTGACTATGCCCTGTTCAAGGTAAGCTTTGTCCCCAAAAGGGATAGGGGGAAAGGGCTGGTATCCTCCATTTGTGCTCAGGGGCAGGGGCCGGGCTGGGCAGGCCCTGGACAGCCTGTCAGGGCAGAGGCTGGTTCTGATTGGAGGAGCTGCTTTAGGCCCTGGACAGCCTGTCAGGGCAGAGGCTGGTTCTGATTGGAGGAGCTGCTTTAGGCCCTGGACAGCCTGTCAGGGCAGAGGCTGGTTCTGATTGGAGGAGCTGCTTTACCCCGAGCTCAGACAGAAGTGGGTCAGGCCTGAGCTGTGCCTTCAAAGATGCTTTAAGAGCGAGGAAGGAAGGTGGACACTGGGGTGGCTCATGCCTGTCATCCTAGCTACTCAGGAGACTGAGATCTGAGGATTGTGGTTCAAAGCCAGCCTGGGCAGGAAAAGCCGAGCAATTCTTCTCCAACGAACCACCAGAAAATGGGAAGTGGCGCTGTGACTCAAGTGGTAGAGTGCTCGCCTTGAGCTGAGGAGCATAGGGACCAGTGCCCAGGCCCAGAGTTCAAGTCCCATGACCGACCAAAACAAAAAAAGAGAGAGAGAAAGAAAAAGGAAAGGCTGGAAGTCTGGAAGGAGAGGGAATGTAGAGGCAAAGGAGTCTGGATTTCTACTTTTTTTTCCCTCAGTCGTGGGGCGCTGTCCCTCAGCTCTTCAGCTCAAGGCGAGTGCTCTATCACTTGAGCCACGGCCCCACTTCCGGTTTTCTGGTGGTTTATTGGAGATAAGAGTCTCACAGACTTTCCTGCCCGGGGCTGGCTTTGAACCTCGATCCTCAAATCGCAGCCTCCTGAGCAGCTGGGATGACAGGCGGGAGCTGAGTGTGGTGGTTCACACTTGTAATCTTAGCTGCTCAGGAGGGTGAGAACTGAGGATCCTGGTTCAAAGCCAGCCCCAGGGAAGTAGAATGAATGGCTCAAGTGGTAGAGCACCAGTTTTGAGTGTGAAAAGCCTGTACTTCTTTGTTGTTGTTGTTGCTGCTCAAGGCTGGTGCTTTGCCACGTGAACCACAGCTCTACTTCTGACTTGATTTCTGGTGGTGCATTGGAAATAGGAGTCTCAGGCTTTCCTGCCTGAGGGGCCTTTGAGTGGCGATCCTCAGATCGCTGCCTCTTGAGTAGCTGGACTGACAGGCAGAGGAGTTCCCTTGGCACTGGACTCACATCTCCAGCTGACAGTGATCCCTCCCTCCTCTTCCCTCCCCCTGCAGGATGGCATCCAGCCCATGTGGGAGGACAGCAGGAACCAGCAAGGTGGCCGCTGGCTGGTCAGCCTGGCTAAGCAGCAGCGCCACTGCGAGCTGGACCGTCTGTGGCTGGAGACGGTGCGTGGCTGGCTGGGCAGGGGGTGTGGCCGGCTGGGCAGGGGGTGTGGCCAAGGGAGAGCCAATGGTCTCAAGGGTGTCCAATGCCATGCCCTGATTGGCGCTCTCACATTCCCCCCGCCCTCCCCCTGGGCTGCAGTTGCTCTGTCTGATCGGGGACAGCTTTGAGGAGCACAGTAGGGAGGTGTGTGGTGCTGTCATCAACATACGCCCCAAGGGGGACAAGATCGCCGTGTGGACGAGTGATGCGGAGAACCAGGCCAGCGTGCTGCACATTGGGTGAGGGGCTAGCTCTGTCCTAGGGGTCCCGGGGGAGAGGGAGAGAGGATCCTGTGTGTAGGATTGGCTTGGCATCCTCCAGAACTCTCTACATCCTCTCCTCCTCCTTCCTTACCCCAAAAAGGGTAAAAGGCCAGGCTCCGGTGGCTCACGCCTGTCATCCCAGCTTCTCAGGAGGCTGAGATCGGAGGATCTCAGGGCAGGATAATCCATGAGACTCCTATCTCCCATGAACCACTCTGACAACCAGAAGTGGCGCTGTAGTAAGAGCGCTTGCCTTGAGCTGAAGAGCTCAGGGACAACGCCCAGGCCCTGAGTACAAGCCTCATGACCAACCAAAACGAAATGGGTAGAAGACGGGACACTGAGAGGATTTCTATCAGAACCCTGCATTTATGTGAAAGGATTCTAGTTTGGGAGCTGAGTGTGGTGGTTCACACTTGTAATCTTAGCTGCTCAGGAGGGTGAGAACTGAGGATCCTGGTTCAAAGCCAGCCCCAGGGAAGTAGAATGAATGGCTCAAGTGGTAGAGCACCAGTTTTGAGTGTGAAAAGCCAAGCAAGAGTGTAAAGCCTTTTGTCTGTGTGTTGGGGGGGGGGGGGGAAGGGGATGGGAAGGAAAAACTAGGAGAAAGCCAGGGAAGGGGTAACATTTTCCAAAAAAAAAAAAAAATGTACTCTTTGCCTGATGAATGAAACTGTTACCCTTCTGTACCTTGCCTTTCTAATAACCACAACAATAAGCCAGGAGCTCCTGGCTCACACCTATAATCCTAGCTACTCAGGAGGCTGAGATCTGAGGATCGTGGTTCAAAGTCAAACCAGGTAGGAAACGTCTGTGAGACCCTTATTGCCGATGAACCACCAGAAAACCAGAAGTGGCGCTGTGGCTCCAAGTGGTAGCGTGGTAGCCTTGAGCAAAAGAGCTCAGGGACAAGCACCCAGGCCCTGAGTTCAAGTCCCACCACAGACCAAAAAAAACCCAACTAAACAACCAATAAAACCAAAAGACAATAAAAAAAAAGAGCACAAGGCCCTGAGTTTAAGCCCTAATCCTGGCACAAGAAAAAAAAACCAATAAAACAGGGGTCTAGTTTGTGTAAGGCATACAAAACAGATGCAGCTGTGGCTGGAATCAGGTGGAGGTCTGGACTGGAACCCAGATCATCTCATCTCCAGGACCCGCTGCTGAGAGCCTGTATCCTCTGTCCTCTGTGCATTCTGCAGGCAGGTGTACAAAGAGCGCCTAGGCCTCTCCATGAAGACGATCATCGGGTACCAGGCCCACACCGACACAGCCTCCAAAAGCAACTCCCTAGCCAAGAACAAGTTTGTGGTGTGAGGGGTTTGGGGCACGCCCATTCATTCATGTGCAGTTGGCCGGTGTAAAGGGGTTTGGTGGTGGGAAGACCAGACTATACCGTTGATCTTAGATTGTATATGAGATGGGGTCTTGCTACATTACACAAGGGTCTCAGACTCCTGGGCTCAAGCGATTATCCTGAGTTTCTTGGGTATCTGGGTTTAGAGTAGTATACCACCACACCTACCCTCACAGTCAACAACCCCTGAACACGACCCTTCCCTTCCCTTTCTGGGATTTGAACCCAGAGCTTTGGACTTGCTCTATCACTGGAGCCATACTCCCAGCCATTTTGCTTGCTTGCTTTTTGTTTTTGTTTTGGGCCTGGGCACTGTCCCCGAGCCTCTTGGTGCTCAAGGCTAGCACTCTACCAACTTGAGCCACAGGACCACTTCTAGTATTTTCAGGCTACTTTATGGGAGAATAAAGATCCTCAGATCTCAGCCTCCTAAGTGGCTGGGATTATAGGCCTGAGCCACTGGTACCCGGCTTCCGTTTCGTTTTTTGAGATAGAGGCTTGCTACCTTTCATGTCTGAGCTGGCCTCACACTCATGGTCCTCTTGTTTCTGCTTCCTGAATGGCTGGGATTACAGGCACGAATCACAGTGCCCGGCTCCATAAAAACATCCTTTAACCTGACTTGGGTCTATGCCCTGGGGCTGATATGGGGAGGAGTCTGGGGAACAAAGAGAGAAGGCAAAGGAGAAGATTAGAGGTAGTTCAGAGAACTGGGGAATTCCTGTGCAGTGCCCCGCCCCTCCCATCTCCTATTGGTCTGTGGGCAGGGCTAGCGGCCAGTAGTATCTGTACCTCTCCTGCCTGAGAGCCAGGCTAGAGTTGAGGTGGGCAGACAGGCCTCAAGCCCTAGGATGACAGATTGATGAGGGTCTAGGGTCTTGTTTTGTTTTTGTTTTTCTGTAATGAGGGAGAGGGAGGGGGAGAGGGAGGGGGCTGGAACTAAGTAAGGGCCTGGGCTCTGTCCTGTAGCTTTCCCACTCCAGGCTGGTGCTCTACCACTTGAGCCACACCTCTGCTTCCAGCATTTTGCTGGTTAATTGGAGATGAGTCCCATAGACTTTCAAGCTGGCTTCCAACCCTGATCCCTCTCAGATCTCTGGTCGGTTGTGAGGCTTGAACTCTGGGCCTGGGCGCTGTCCCTCAGCTCTTCAGCTCCAGGCGAGCGCTCTACCACTTGACCCACAGCACCACTTCTGGCTTTTTCTGCTTATGTGGTGCTGAGGAATCGAACCCAGGGCCTCATGCATGCAAGGCAAGCGCTCTACCACTGAGTCACCTTCCCAGCCCATACTTTTTTTGAAATGAGTTTTGAACTGCGAGCCCGGCTAAACACAAGGAGCTTGAAGGAGCTCCACGATCCTCTGTTGGCCAGGTGTCTGAGTAGACTCTGCTACTGTCCCGCAGAGACCTGGTGCACCTGCTGGAGTTGGGACCACTCACCCCATCCCTGGGGGAGCAGGTACCCGGGTAGGCCCCAGGAGCAGCAAGGCCTCAGGTTCTGGGCCCTTCAGGGGCTGGGGCCCTTCCTGGCTGCAATCACCCACGCCATCAACAAGCAGGGGTCTGACGCACGCGGGAGACCTGCTGGCGGGGTGATGCGGGGACCCAGAGGCGGGTTAGGACTGGGGCCCGCAGCCTGGCTCGGGGCGTGGCTCAGCAAAGAGGAGGGGCTTGGAGAGCCTGAGTGGGCGGAGCCTAGCCCAGAGGCGGGGCTCTGAGAGAACTGTTGGGCCAGGGGCGGGGTCTGAACCTGGGGGCGTGGCTAGGCGAGAGGCCGGACTATGAGAACTAGAGCTAAGGGGCCAAGTTTGAGAGAGGGCGTGGCTCGGCTTGGAGGCGGGGCTCCGAGACCCGGAGTGGGCGTGGCCATGTGGGCAGGGGGCTCCAAGAACCAGAGCGGGGGCGTGGCTCTGGGCGTGGCGTGTCCAGGCGCAGGGGCGTGGCTCCTCCCCGGGGGCGTGGTTTTGGGCGTGGCGTGTCCGGGCGTAGGGGTGTGGCTCCTCCCCGGGGGCGTGGCTTTGGGCGTGGCGTGTCCGGGCGTAGGGGCGTGGCTCGTCCCGGGGGCGTGGCTCTGGGCGTGGCGTGTCCGGGCGCAGGGGCGTGGCTCGTCCCGGGGGCGTGGCTCCGGGCGTGGCGGGCGGGGCGCCGCGGGGCGGTCCCAGCAGGGCAGGGCCGGGGCCGGGGCCGGGCCGGGCGGCCGCTCGCTCTGGGTGGCCGCGGCCATGAAGCTGCAGCGGCCGGGCTAGCCCCGGTGGGGGGCGGCGGGAGCCCAGGGCGGGCCCGCGGAGGGCTGCGGCCCGGTCGGCGGCCGCTCACCATGCCGGCCAAGCACCAGCACTTCCCGGAGCCCGCGGTCGGCTGCTGCGGGAAATACTTCCTGTTCGGCTTCAACGTCGTCTTCTGGGTGAGCGCGGGGTCCGCGGCCCGGACGCCGCACCCCGACTCCCTTCTCCCCCCCCCACCCCGAGAGGCCCGGATTGCGGGGGGCGGGGCCGCGGGGGTCCCCGGGGGGGGGGAGATTGGCACCCTCGCCCTGCGCCGATTTGTGGGGGGGGCGGTTTCGGGGGTGGGGTGAACTCCACAAGAGAGGATTGGGGGCCTCCGGGCCTCTGCAGCACCCCGGGATCCTTGGCCACGCGGTGTGTGTGTGGGGGCAGTGCTGGGATGCGCTGGGGGAGCGGGAACCCCGATTTCCTAGGCCTCTCTGGGCCTGCTTTGGGGTGCCCCCCTCCCTTCCTGGCGGGGTGGCATCTGTGTATCCGTCCACCCCCCCCCCCCCCACACACACACATACCACACCCCGGGCCTGCCAAGTCATCCTGGCCTCCTCCCTCCTCCACCTCCTCGGGCCCTGGGGTCAGGAAGGAGGCCAGACTAATGGTGATCGCCTGGGTTGGGTGGCACCTGTCCCCGTGGGGGGGGGGTGATGAGCCCCAGAGAGGGGGGCCCCCCCCCGTGCCCAAGGTGGGGACAGCTGCAGGCAGCCGTGGAGGCCCGGGTGTGGCAGGCCTGGGTGCCAGGCCTGGGATCCGTCCGTCCCCCTGTCCCCTTGGGGGGGGTGGTTTGGCATGGGCCGGGGATTCTATTCGAGTTTGCCCCTCCGCGAGTTCTAAGCTATGCTCTACACCTACGTCATTCTAATTTACATTGAATTAATTAACGTGTGTGTGTGTGTGTGTGTGTGTGTGTGTGTGTGTCCACGCCAGTACTGACTGGGCCTTGAACTCAGGGCCTGGGTGCTGCTTGCTACTACTGTCCCTTGGCGTCTCTCAAGGCTGGTGCTTGAGCGACCTCTCCACTTTGGGTGGTTCATTGCAGAGCAAAGGGACTTCCCTGCTCAGGCTGGCTTTGAACCACGATCTTCAGATCTTAGCCACCAGTGCTTGTTTCTATACCCCCCCCCTCCACCACCACTTGGTGCGGATGGGCCTGGGGCTTGAACTCAGGGCCTGGGTGCTGCCCCCTGAGCTTTTGTGCTCAAGGCTGGCACTCTACCACTTGAGCCACATGGTTCCCCTGCTAATGTTTTAGCGGTTAATTGGAGTTAAGGGTCTCCTGGACTTTCTTGCTTGGGTTGGCTTCAAATGGTGATCCTCAGCTCTTAGCCTCCTGAGTGAGGCTAGAGGTGTTACAGGTGTGAGGAACTGGTGCTTTTTCTTCCTCTTTTGTGTGTTTGTGTGTGTGCGTGGGTGCATGCATGTGTGTGTGGGGGGGAGGTTTGAACTCTAGGCCTGGACACTGTCCCTCAGCTCTTCAGCTCAAGGCGAGTGCCACAGCACCACTTCCGGTTTTCTGGTGGTTCACTGGAGATAAGAGTCTCACGGCCTTTCCTGCCTGGGCTGGCTTTGAACCACAATCCTCCGATCTCAGCAGCCTCCTGAGTAGCACCCAGCTTCTACCTCACTTTTAAAATTCTCTGTAAGGGGTCATGATGTCCACCATGATGGCCACTTCAGTCTCCCGGGCTGCCCTGTCGGGGGAGAGGAGGAGGGAAGAAGACAGGTCATGTGTTTGGGAGCTGGACAGGCCGCCTGCTCCCATTTATCAGCAGCCTGTGCCCCTGGCTTCCTGTGGGCAAGGACAGGGGTGTGTGTGTGTGTGTGTGTGTGTGTGTGTGTGTGTGTGTGTGTGTGTGTGTGTGTGTGTGTGTGTGTGTGTGTGTGTGTGTGTGTTCTGGTACTGTGGTCTTTACTGCTGCTCTTGCAGGTGCTGGGCGCCCTCTTCCTGGCCATTGGTCTCTGGGCCTGGGGGGAGAAGGTAAGACGGAGATCATGGGCCCCCCTCCCCACAGGGGGAGGGGGAGGGGAGGGGAAGGCCGTCCCCCCTCTCCCCATGCCTACCTCCACGCCCCTCTGTACAGGGAGTCCTCTCCAACATCACAGCGCTGACAGACCTGGGCGGCCTCGACCCGGTGTGGCTGTTTGTGGTGGTCGGAGGCGTCATGTCGGTGCTTGGCTTTGCGGGCTGCATCGGGGCTCTCCGAGAGAACACCTTCCTGCTCAAGTTTGTAAGTGGCGCCCCTCCCTCCCGGCCAGGGAACCCCATCCTTTGGTCCCTTCACTTCTTGCAATACAGTTGGGGCTCAGTAGTGGGGAGCCTGTGTCACGTGGTTAGCACCCTCAGATTGTCCGTTTATTTATTTATTTATGCCGGTAGTGGGTCTTGAACTCAGGGCCTCGCGCTCTTGCTTGGCTTTTCTTCCTCTGCTCAGGTGGGTGCTCTACCACTTGAGCAATACCTCCATGTATGGTTTTTTGGCTAGTTAGTCAGAGGTTAGACTTCAAACCCGATCCTCAGATCTCAGCCTCCTGAGTAGCCTCATGCTGCTTCTATTTATTGGGCTCCTTTGGAGTCTCAGTGACCACAACTCAGTGACCTATGCCCCGAAATGTATTCATTGGCTCCTGAAAAGGCCTAGGGCATTTGGGGTGCAGGTGTATTTGGATGCCCAGGAACTTGGCCACATTTCTGTTTCTCCACTTGGCTCCTGTTGGGTTGGTGCCAGTCTTAGTCCTTGGGAGTGGTAGATGGGGTCCTAGGAAGGGGTACGGGGTGCTTGGCCTCTCAAGAGGTCCTGGGGGAGTTCAGGAACTTTTCTCCCACTTCTTCTCCCACATCATTTTAATTGCTTCTCCTTGGCTCTGATTGGCCATCTCTGGGCCAATCACTGTGGGCTGGAAGGAGCTGGTGCTCTGATTGGTGGTGGGCTGGAGGCACATGCTCAGTCCTGTAGCTGGGAATGGGAAAAGAGAGAGAGGGAGAAGGAGGGAGGGAGTGAGGGAGGGAGAGAGAGGAGAGGAGAGACAGAGACTGTGTTCCAGTCTGGAACTGGAACTAAAGGTGGACATACAATGGGCTAGCTCAAGAAGTCAGGCAGGGCAACCAGCGAGGTCTGGGTGGGTAAGAACAGCGGGGCCTTTTACCCACATTCAGTGGTTCTAGGGGAGGCAGAGGGCAGAGCACTTGGCCTAGCAGGCTCGGAGCCCTGGGTTCCATCCCTAGCTCTCTGTGGGGAGGTTGGAGGCAAATAAGCAACAGTACAGTAATGGCGTGGAGGAGCGACACTAGACTCTCGTTGGTTGTGGTGGAGGCCGGGGTGCAGTGCTTTCCTGTGGCCCCCCCCTCCCCCCAGTTCTCCGTGTTCCTTGGCCTCATCTTCTTCTTGGAGCTGGCCACCGGGATCCTGGCCTTCGTCTTCAAGGACTGGATTCGAGACCAGCTCAACCTCTTCATCAACAACAACGTCAAGGCCTACCGGGACGACATCGACCTTCAGAACCTCATTGACTTTGCTCAGGAATACGTGAGTGCAGCAGCGCCCCCTGCAGGAGGAGCCTGGCCCCCCCCCCCCCCCCCAGGGAGAGCTGGTTCCCTGGGGGTGCTGGTACTGTCCCCCACCCCACACACCTGGACCAGCAGGCCCTGGGGGGGAGGCCCGGAGAGGGAGGCCTGTCCCCCAGAGCCACCTCCTGCTGCTTTCTCTGGGTCCCCATGGATTATTTTTTTTGGTTGGTCGTGGGACTTGAACTCAGGGCCTGGGCGCTGTCTCTGAGCTCTTCAGCTCAAGGCGAGCGCTCTACCACTTGAGCCACAGCGCCACTCCTGGTTTTCTGGTGGTTCATTGGAGATCAGAGTCTCATGAACTTTCCTGCCCAGGCTGGCTTTGAACCACGATCCTCAGATCTCAGCCTCCTGAGTAGCTAGGATGCCAGGCGTGAGCCACCGGTGCCTGGGTCCAAACCAGTATCTCCCTCCCTCTCTCCCTCCGGTTTGTAGCCTCTCCTGGTTTAGGAGGGCAGGCTGTGCCCCACAGCTTCTACTACCCTGACCCCCCCCCACCCCGTGATGGGGGGCACCCTGGGAGGGGTGGGTAGCTGGCAGCCCTCTCTCCTGCGGCTTGGACTTGTTTCCAAACAAGGACGAGCCTCCGGGGGTGGGGGTGATTCACCTGGGGGGGGGTCCCCCTCTTCCCTCTCCCCCCACCCCCACAGTGGTCTTGCTGTGGAGCCCGAGGACCCAACGACTGGAACCTCAATATCTACTTCAACTGCACTGACTTGAACCCCAGCCGGGAGCGCTGCGGGGTGCCCTTCTCCTGCTGCGTCCGGGACCCTGCCGTGAGTGGGGCGGGCGTGGGGGGCATCGAGGTGCACACCCCACTGGGGAGACCGCCCCCAGCCATGGACGCGCGGCAGGCGGGGGTTTATGGGAAGTTTGTATCTGTGGGGCTGCCTGCCTTCTCTTCCCAGGCTGGGTCTGATTCTCGTGAGCAAATCACAGCCCCGGGACCCCAGACACCCCAGGGGCGACCCTCCCGAGCCCCCCGGGACTCCCCCGGCCATGGCTGCTCTTCCTCTCAGCGGGCCTGACCCCAAGATGGCACCCCGCAGTCACCCCCTTGTGTGAGGGTGAGCCTGTGGCTCCCAGGAAAACAGTGATGGACGATGCTGGGCAGGGTGGCTCCCGCCTGTCATCCCAGCTGCTCAGAGGCTGAGATCTGAGGATCGTGGTTCAAAGCCAGCCCGGGCAGGAAAGTCCGTGAGACTCTGATCTCCCATGAACCACCAGAAAACCAGAAGTGGTGCTGTGGTTCAAGTGGTAGAGCACCAGCCTTGAGCTGAAGAGCTGAGGGACAGCGCCCAGGCCCAGAGTTCAAGCCCTGGTACCGACGCACACACCTACACACACAAATGATGATGATGATGATGATGATGATAGAGGGGAAAAATAAACCCTGACAAAGCAGACTACTTAACAGACTACTTAATAGGGGGCTGAGCCCCCTATTCTATGTCTGCGAGGTTGGCATGGGGCCCCGGGAAGCCAGAGGGAGAGCCCTGGCAGTGCCCATGACCCTCACCCTGTGCCCTGTGGTCTCTCTCCCCCGCAGGAAGATGTCCTCAACACCCAGTGTGGCTATGACGTTCGGCTCAAACTGGTGAGAGTCTGGGGCCCAGGCTCTGGGCAGTTGGGGACACTGGGGGTGTGGGATAAGACCCCCCCTCACAAAGCACCTGTGGAAGGCCTCGGGATCTGTAGGGAGGGTGCTAAGGCCCGGGACCCCTTGGCACCCAGGGTGTGGTACTGGGGGTGGGGTGAGCCCTGGGCATGGCACACACAGATGGGGGGGGGACAGGGGGCTGCTTGGTCCCCCTGCTGTCGGGCCAAATTGCCCTGGACTTTGGAAATTCAATCTCGAGACAATGCCTGCCCTCACGGACAGTCATGCGACCTTCTGGAAAACCATGGAAGGTGCTGGACAGGGTAGTGTCCAGATGAGGCTGGGTGATCTGGGAAGGCCTCCACAGCGGAGCCTCCAGGCTGGGACTCCGGGAGAAGCATCAGCTGTGCAAAGGCCCTGTGGCAGGGCTTGGGCTTGGCAAGCTGAAGTAGGGTAAGGGAGAGCAGGGCACAGGTTGAGATGGGCACCCCCGGGCAGGTGGGCCCACTCGGTGCCTGTGCCCCCAGGAGCTGGAGCAGCAGGGCTTTATCTACACCAAAGGCTGCGTGGGCCAGTTTGAAAAGTGGCTGCAGGACAACCTGATTCTGGTGGCTGGAGTCTTCATGGGCGTGGCCCTCCTCCAGGTACCCTGGAGGCCCCGCCCACCCACCACGCCCGGGCCACGCCCCCCTGCCTTGGGTCTTACAGATCTTTGGCCTCTGGCCTGGCTTAGGTACCCCGGAGGCCCCGCCCACCATCATGCCCAGGCCACGCCCCTGGCCACGCCCCCTGCCTTGGGTCTTACAGATCTTTGGCCTCTGGCCTGGCTTAGGTACCCCGGAGGCCCCGCCCACCATCATGCACAGGCCACGCCCCTGGCCACGCCCCTCCCCCTGCCTTGGGTCTTACAGATCTTTGGCCTCTGCCTGGCTTAGGTACCCCGGAGGCCCCGCCCATCCACCATGCCAAGGCCACGCCCCTGGCCACGCCCCCCGGCCACGCCCCCTCCCCTGCCTTGAGTCTTACAGATCTTTGGCCTCTGGCCTGGCTTAGGTACCCCGGAGGCCCCGCCCACCCACCTCACCCAGGCCACGCCCCTGACCACGCCCCTGACCACGCCCCGGCCACGCCCCTCTGCTTCCCTCCCCTGCCTTGTGTCTTACAGATCTTTGGCATCTGCCTGGCTCAGAACCTCGTAAGTGACATCCGGGCAGTGAAGGCCAACTGGTAAGGGAGCCACGCGCCACCGCCACGTGCCAGGACTCCCCAGGCCTCGGGGGGAGCCCCGGGGACCCTCTGCTCTGCTCACACACACGGGCAAGGCCGCAGGAGGCGTCTGCTTGGATCTGGGGGGGCCCAGGAGCACTCAGCATCATCTGCTCCCCCCCACCCCAAACCAGAGGAGCCACCAGCTCGCTGCTGTGGAGGCCTGGGGCTGTCCAGGATCCTGGGGAGGGTGCGGCCGGGTGGGGTGGGGCAGGTCTGCCTGTACCCCCCACCCCCCAGCACTGCATGGCTGGGGTGCAGCCTTAGAGCTCTCCCACTCGCTGGGACCTTTCTCTGGGTGTGAGCCACCTCGAACTTGAACTCAGGGCCTGGGCGCCGCCCCTAAGCTTTCCCCCCCCCTCCCCGGCTCAGGGCTGGCGCTCTACCACTTGAGCCACACCTCCACTTGCAGCTTTCTGGTGGTTCCTCGGAGATCAGAGTCTCCCGGACTTCCCTGCTCGGAGGCTGGCTTTGAACCTCGATCCTCAGATCTCAGCCTCCTGAGTAGCTGGGATGACAGGCCAGAGCCACCGCGCCAGGCTCTGCCTTTCACCTTGAGCCTAGTGCGCAGCCTCTGAGTCCTGGACCCACGAAAGGTCCACGAATGTTCTCTCTCTCTTGCTCGCTCGCCTCTCAGGATCACACACGATGACGCTACAAACTACTCCAATAAACAGAACTTTGGAAACCATCACCCGAACCATACTGGGGTCTGCTGTGGTAACGGCCCGGGCCAGAGCCAGCATTGGACAGGCCGGCCGTCTTAGGCCTGGGAAGTTTAGACGTTTAAGATGACCCAGGAGCCCAGCTCCCGCTCCCCGCCTCCCCCTCTCTCTCCTCTGTTATCTGGTACCGGGGCTGGAACTCCAGGCCTGGGAACTGTCCCTGACTTTTTTTTGTCCCCTCAAGGCTGGCTCTCTACCATTTGGGCCACACCTCTACTTCTGGCTTTTTGGCGATTCATTAGCAATAAGAGTCTCACACACTTTTTTCCTGCCCCTGGCTGGCTTTGAACCCATGATCCTCCGATCTCAGCCTCCTGGGTAGCCAGGATGACAGGCGCCCGGCTCCTGAGTCTCTTGAAGGGTGTCCGCCGGGTCACACCAGCTCTCCGGTGTCACCCACAGCCTGGGTCTGAGCGCACAGAGACCCCGTTCAGTCTTCTCTCACCCAAGTGCCCTCCCTCACCCTCTGGGTGGTCCTTGTAAATACTGCAAGGCCACTGTGGTCCCCAGATGGGGACCCAGATGGCAGAGGAAATGGCTGGGAACCTAATGCCTGGCACCTGGGGAGCTGAGTGGAGTGTTTGGAGAAGATGGATCATCAGTGTCTAGGCTTAGAACTGCTCACAGACCGGTCTCGCTGCCTGCAAGGCCGCCCTGTGGTCACCAGAGGGCGCCACCCGCTCAGCATTTCCTAAGTGCTTAACCCTGTCTTTCCCTTTTCTCTTTGGTGTGCTGGGGCTTGAACTCAGGGCCTGGGCACGGTCACTTAGCTCTTTTGCTCAAGGCTGGCTCTCTTCCACGTGAGCCATGGCCCCACTTCCGGTTTCCTTTGAAACGTTCATTGGAGATCAGACTCACAGATTGAAAAAAAATACAAAAAAAAAAAGAATCTCACAGACTTTTTTCCTTCCTGGGCTGGCTTTGAACCGGGAGCCTTCGGTCTTTTCCCAAGGCCTCCCCTCTAAACTCTGCTGCTTCGGGGCCCATGCCTCGCACGGGTGCTGGTGGGGACATCAGGTCCTGATCCCTCTGTAAGATGCAGAGTGGCACTGGCTAGAGACAGGTTTCCGGCTCCTACAACAGAACGTGGGTGGCTTGGGGCCCCCTGGGGGCCTGGCCCACAGATGCAGCCTCCTCAGATAAACAGCACAGGAAGCAGCCAACGTCCTTCTGCCATTTAGCGGGGTCTGGGGGACCAGTGTCCCCTGCTGGCCTCTGTCAGGCTGGCTGCACCCGGATCCTGTCTGCAAGCCTGCGTGGCCCCGCTTGATCTGACCCCTAGGAAAGACTCCAGCAGCTCCCCATGTGCCTTTGAGGGAGCAGACTGTGACCTCAGAAGAGGACCAGACAGAGAGCAAGCCTGGAGAAAGCTGAGGGCTCTGAGCTCCGGCCGCAGGTTCCTGTGTTAGCCGTGATGAGTGAAGGTTAGCAGCCAGGGACGCTCAGGCGGCCACAGCTCCCAGTGACCAGCAGAGGGCACCAAAGCACAGCACATGGTGGGGGGGGGGGGTTGGTCAGCGGCGGGCGCCGAGGGACCAGCAGAGGGCGGCAGAGCGCGGCTCGTGTGGTGCAGCGGAGCAGCTGTGAGGGTGTCAAGCGACCACCAGAGGGCAGCCTTGCAGCACGGCCGGTCAGCGGGGGCTCACATGGCCACCAGAGGGCAGCAAAGCGTAGCTCGTGCCACAAAGTGACCCCAGGAAGACAGATGGGGGGGGGGGTCAGCTGCGTGGGGGGGGGTCAGCTGCGTGCGGCGGGCGCCCAGGGACCGCCAGGGGGCGCCAGAGGGCAGCCCGTGGTCAGCCCAGGGCCCGTGGTCAGCCCAGGGCCAGGCAGGGCCTGGGGGCCCGTGGTCAGCCCAGGGCCCGTGGTCAGCCCAGGGCCAGGCAGGGCCTGGGGGCCCAGCTCTGCACCACCCCCCGCCCCGGGGACCTGGGGGCCGCCTGGTCCACTGCGTCCACCTCCGTCCCCTCATTTAGCCAGGTTTGCTGAGCACCTACTGTGTGGTTTACCAAGCACCCACTGCGTGCCCGGGTGTGGTTTGCTGAGCACCTACTGCGTGATTTACTGAGCACCCACTGCGTGCCTGGGCATGGTTTACTGAGCACCTACTGCGTGCCCTGGCATGGTTTACTAAGAACCTACTGTGTGGTTTACTGAACACCTACTGTGTTATTTACTGAGCACCTACTGGGTGCCCAGGTGTGATTCACTAAGAACCTACTGTGTGGTTTACCAAGCACCTACTGAGCGCCTGGGTGTGGTTTACTGAGCACCCACTGCACGCCCGGGGGCTGTTGCGGGCACCTTGGAGACAGAAGTGAGTCACATGAGCCCCCGTACGCCCCGTCGATAGTGACCACCCTTCGCCTCCTCTTGTGAGATCAGCGTTTTGGGGTGTGGGGTGGGGGCGGGGTTCTGGGGTGTGAAGTCAGTTGGGGCGGGTGCTCGACCGCGTGAGCCAAGCCTCCCGCCTGTTTGCGCTTTCCGTCTCTTTAGAACGGGGTCTGCACTTTTCGCTCGGGGCTGGTCGGGACCCCGAGCCCCCCGTTTCTCATGGCCGATGGCTCGGTGGAGATGAGGGTTGTGGGGCGTTTATGGCCCAGGCCACCCCCAGAATAGGATTCTACGTGGGAGCTACGGCGCCCGGCTGAGGTCACCCGGGGAGGGACGCGGTCGTGAGCTGCGTCCTGTCTCTCTGTCTTTGTCTGTCTGTCTGTCTCTGTCTCTGTCTTTGTCTCTGCCTGTCTCTCTGTCTGTCTGTCTCTGTCTGTCTGACTGTCTCTGTGTCTGTGTCCCTCTGTCTGTGTCTGTGTCTGTCTGTGTCTGTGTCTGTCTGTCTGTCTGTCTCTGTGTCTGTGTCTGTGTCTGTCTGTCTGTGTCTGTCTGTCTGTCTCTCTGTCTCTGTCTGTCTGACTGTCTCTGTGTCTGTCTCTGTCTCTATCTGTCTCTGTGTCTGTCTGTCTGTCTCTGTGTCTGTGTCTGTCTGTCTGTCTGTCTCTCCCCGCAGTGTGCCGTGGGCAGCAGATTCTCTTTCTCCTCCCGTGTTCTGTGTTATCATCTGGCGCACGCTGCGCTGGTGTGCGCATGGCTGCGTGTGGTTTGGGGATACTGAGGCAAGTGTGCGCAGTTGCCAGGGAAGCGGGTGCCGCAGGCCCGGCCTCAGCGCCCGGGAACGAGGAAGCAGCTGCCTCCCACCCACAGCTACCGAATCCTCGATCCCAGAGCCCGGGCCTAGGGATGTGGAAGGCCAGCCCTGCGGCCTCCGGTGATCCGCAGTCACGTTCTTCCTTTTCCTCTCTCTTAGTTCCAGTCCTGGGGCTTGAACTCTGGGCCTGGGCGCTGTCCCTCAGCTCTTCAGCTCAAGGCGAGCGCTCTACCACTTGAGCCACAGCACCACTTCTGGTTTCCTGATGGTTCATAGGAGATCAGAGTCTCATGGACTTTCCTGCCCGGGCTGGCTTTGAACCGTGATCCTCAGATCTCAGCCTCCTGAGTAGCTAGGGTGACAGGCGTGAGCCACCAGCGCCTGGTTTGAAAGACAATCTTTTCAGCACAGCAGACGGGCAGTGCAAAGGTCCTGAGGCAGGAATGGGCGTGGACAAAGTGATGAACCGGTGCCACAGGGCTCCGCCGCCCAGCTCAGGTGACAGTCCTTCCAGGCTGGGGAAGCAATTCACGTTCATTAAATGGGGAGACCGAGCAGGAGACCGAGGCGGCAGCCAGCCAGCCTGGCAGGCGGCAGAAGCTTCTAGAATCCTTGCAGGGTTTGAGACATTAAAAACCCACGGATTTCTTTATGGGCAATTTAAGTGACGTTCAAGGGTAATCTGGACTGTTCTCTTGATTTCTGCCATATGTGCCGACTTCGCGCCCGGCACCCCGGGTGGAGGTTGCTCACCGTGGGCCGTATGCCTGGCCGACAGGGGAGAGGCGCGCCGAAAACATGGGAGGAAGCCGTGTGCAGCGGCTCACGCCTGTCATCCCAGCCACTCAGGAGGCTGAGATCTGAGGATCGCGGTTCAAAGCCAGCCCGGGCAGGAAAGTCCGTGAGACTCTGATCTCGCGTGAACCACCAGAAAATCAGAAGTGGCGCTGTGGCTCAAGTGGTAGAGCACTCGCCTTAAGCTGAAGAGCTGAGGGACAGCGCCCAGGCCCAGAGTTCAAGCCCCACGACCCACACGAAACAAAACCAGGCTCAAGCCTGTCATCCTCGCTACTTGAGAGGCTGAGAAGTGAGGATGAAGGTTCAAAGCCAGGCCGGGCAGAGGAAATCCCAGAGACTCTTACCTCCAACCAATCAGCCAAAATCCAAAGTGGAAACAGGGCTCAGGTGGTAGAGCACCAGTCTGGATAAACTTCTCCAGAACGGTTGAGATGAGGTCTAAGTTTTTATTTTTCTCTCTCCTCCGGCTGGCTTTGAGGTGAGCAATCTTCCTCATCTCTGTGTCCTTCGCTGGGATGGCAGGTATGTGCCACTGTACCTGACCAGTAAAGCTTTTGCATGTGGGGTCAGCGGTGGGGCTTGATCTCTGGGCCTGGGCGCTGTCCCTCAGCTCTTCAGCTCAAGGCAAGCGCTCTACCACTTGAGCCACAGTGCCACTTCTGGTTTTCTGGTGGTTCATGGGAGATCAGAGTCGCAGAGACTTTCCTGCCCTGGCTGGCT